TCCTCTCTTCCGCCTCTCTGCCTGTGGTGGGGAGCGGGACTCTTGTCAGGACTGACGACGGGTGAGGAGCCTGAGCAGCCCAGACGAGGCTGGGTGGGAACAGAGCAGAGACCTCCTGTCCACGTGGCCCCGTGTGCTTACTTCCCGAGGCCAAGCCCAGCCCTCAGCTGGGTGGCCCTGAGCATACAAGCGACTCTTCTTTGTCCCCCCTTTCCCAGTCCCCACGACTGTGCATGCGTGTGCGCTGAGATTTACCACGGTAACCCTTCTACGTGCACGGTTTGGTGGCATCAGGTACATTTCGTGTTGTTGTGTGACTGTCCCCACCGTCCACCTTTCAGACTTTTCCATCTTCCATCCAAGTACTAACCAGGCCCGACCCTGCTTAGCTTCCGAGATCAGACGAGATCGGGCGCGTTCAGGGTGGTATGGCCGTAGACCTTTTCCATCTTCCAAATGGAAACTGTAACCCCATTAACCACTCGTTCTCCTATCCCCCCCCCCCCCCGCAGCCCCTGGTTCCCACCGCTCTCCTTTCTGTCTCTGTGGACTTGGGATGCGTGGCATCGTGCCGCATCGGTCCTTTTGTGCCTGGCTTATTTTATAATCTCCCCAAAGTCCCAGAATTCAGTGGCCAGACACATCCTGGCACCGAGGCAGACCCCTCGTGTGTCCCGAAAGCTGGAGGCTCACCGCCTTGGGCAGTGCTGAGGGTTGGGGGCGCTGGCACACTTGTCCCCTGCCGCCCCACTCCGGGCTGAGTGGTGGCCGCGGCCGCCCTGCCAGGTGCACGGACTCGATTGAGGCTTCGCTGCTGCTGCTGCAGGTCCAGCCCTCGGTGTCTTTCGAGACCTCATCTCTCGGGCCAGAGTGAGGGTTTGGTGGACAGATGGGGGCCGGGTGGGCCTGCGCGGTCATACGCCTGTGATGACATCATAGCGCCCGTGCCGTGACCCTTTTAGTGACCCGTGGACGTACTTGGCCAGCACCACGTCTCCCTCCCCAAAAGTGAGAGCGTTTTTCATAATAAACAGGAAATTTCATTTACCTGCAAAAAAAATGGACTTAGAGCTCTGTTGGCTCCAACTTGAGGGGTTGGCGGGTAACTGGGTTTGCGGGCGGGGCAGGAGGGGGCACTTGGGGTTCTCGGCTCTGCTGCGGTGGCTCCTCCCCCTCCTCCCCTCTGTCTTTCCGGGAGTCGTCCTGGGTCCCCACCAGCGCGGGAGGGGGCACGAGGCCACTTTGGGTGGAGCCTGGGGGGTGAGCTCAGCTCCCTGTGCGCTGTCCTGACTGCGGGGCCAAAGCGAACTTGGGCTGGAGCCCAGCCCATCCGGGAGCCCCCATTCCCATTCCAGGCACCTCGCATCCGGCATCACTGCCTCCCCAGCTCTGCGAATCTGTGCTCCGTCAGCGTGCGGCGGTCTGAGGACAGGCAGTGTGACGAGGGACGAGTTGGGCCTCATTCTTGCTGAGAGGGAGCCGTCATTCAGTCCTGAGGCCTTGCTTTTCCAGGGCTGACCTGCCGCTCCCAGGGGCAGCCATAAAAGGCTCCCTGCCCGCTTCCCTCGCCTGCTCCTCGGCCCTCCCGTCCTGGGTTTCTGCTGGGGGCGTCTCTCTGGGCACGCCATCCCGTGGCTCTCAGGGCTGGGGGTGGGGGTGGCCATGTCCTCTGCACCCAGTGGCCTTTGGTGCTGGCTCCAGGCTGTCTCCCACTCTCTGAGCACCGATAGTCGGGTGGTGGGTGGTCTGGCTGTTTCCAACCCTCTGCCTGGGCCTAGGGAGGGCCGATGGCTGCCCTGCCCAGGCTCAAGTTCAGATTCACCGGGACCTTACTGCCCCCGCCCCCCCTGCTCCATCTCCCCGCCCCCATTAGAGACTCCGGCCGGTTGAGGGGCTGCCTCTGATCGGAGCGCCCTGTCTCCCGGGCGTGCTGTGGGGGGAACAGACTGCCCGTTGCTGCGTCGCGAGGCTGCTGTGCTAAGTCAACAGAAACCGTGAATCTGGGGTTTTCCTGAGGTTCCGGTGTCTCACCCCAAGGACGAGAGCTGGCCGCTGGTCTCAGAACCAGGCTGAACTTCGGCGGCTCTCAGTTCCTGACCGGTTCTGCTGTCCCCAGCCCCTCGGCCCCTCCTGCCTGTGGGGCCTGTTCTGGGAGCCCTGTGTGTTACCTGATCTAATCCCCGCTACGGTCAGAGGAGGAGTTGTTTTTGGAATTTTACAGATGAAGAAATGGTAACTCAGGAGTTCGGAACTTCAGGTCAGGTCGCCGTCAGTGGCCGGCGCCGGGAGTCGGATCCAGGGCTGTCTTATTTAAGAGCCTGTGTTCTTTCTGAGTGCTTAAGTTCGGGGAGAGGCTTGGAATGCTGTGGCTTCGGGCGCACACACAGCTCTGAAGCGCACTTGAACCTGGGGGGCCTGGCGGCCAGAATGTTTATCCCGCCAAGCAGACCTTCACCCCTCGGCACACCCCCAGTGTTAACTGTTTATCTTAGAGCCTTGCGATGGGGGCCTGGCTCTGGCCTGAGTGGAGGTAGCCTCTTGGGGAGCCCAGCTGCTGACTTGCCTTCAGTCCGGGAGGCTTGGCAGGAGCAGGAGCAGCCGAATTCCACTCTGATGACCCACTCAGCAGGCTCCTTACCGGAGGGGCGGGGAGGGCTGCCCCCCCCCCCCCCACGGCGCGGTAGTTCACTCTGTTTTCTTTGTTCTCTCCCTCTACCTGCTACTTTTCTGTAACCTGGCAGTCTGGATAATGCGTGGCCAAATCCCAGTTTGGTCAGAGGGTCGCGAGCATGTTTTACAAGGGATGCTAGCCAGGAGCAGGCTGTCAGGACGAGGAGATTGGTGGGCCCGTTTCTGGGCAGGGTCTCGGGCTCTTCTCTATGAGAGCAGCTTCTCCGGCTTACTTTCAGAGCCTGACTGCACTCTGGGGTGTATTTGGTACTTCTTAGGAGGCCCGGCCTGTATTTGAGGTGGCCTGTGGGGAGCAGGTGAAGAACAAGGAGGAGCCCAGGGACAAGGAGGCTTGCCCAGAATCAGCCGGAGAGGAAATGGTAGCTCGGGGGCTTCGACCCAAGCTTCCCAAAGACTTTTAGGCCACTGTTGTCACCTGGTCTTCCTACATCTCCTCATCTTTGCTCCTAAAAGATGAGAAATAGGGGCGCCTGGGTGGCTCAGTAGGTCGAGCGTCTGCCTTCAACTCGGATCATGATCCCAGGGTCCTGGGATGGAGCCCGGTATCGGGCTCCCTGCTCAGCGGGGAGTCTGCTTCTCCCTCTGGCTTGTGCTCTCTGTCTTGCTCACTCTCTATCTCAAGTAAATGAAATCTTAAAAATAAATAAAAGATGAGAAATAGAACCTTCACTTCTTCTGGGGGCAGTGGAAGAAGTGGAAACATTTTAAAGAGGCGTGACTGAAATAGGATTTAGGTTAAACTGCTGTCGGAGAGACCCCAAAATCCACTGGCTTAAACCAGATATCAGCTAGTTCATGTGGAAAATAACAATCCAGGCCATCCTGAACGTTCGGCTTTCATCTCTGAATTCAAGGTGGTTGCTCCAGCCCCTGCTATCACATCTGCATTCCATTCCTCAGGAAGGGAGAAAAGGACAAAGGTCTCATAGACCTTGTTCATTTCTGCCGCAGGAGAGGCTAGAAAATGCGGTCTTAAACTGGGGGGCCCAGAGTTCAGCCAGAACTAGACCGTTGTTGTCAAGGGAAGAGCTACGGTGAGCGGTCTCTGCTGCCGACGGCCCTGCCCCGCAAGGGGCCTCCACTGGACACTGGGAGACCGCGTAGCCTAGACTTGAGAGCTGGACGTGATCTAGTCCAGCCACCTCGTTTTAGAGACGCATTTAAGGCCTAGAGAGGGGATGCGGTGTGTAGCATTTCATAGGCCTGTCGTAGAGCAGTGGTCAGCGAAATTTTTCGGAAGGGTCAGAGTTAGTGTTTTTGGCCTGCAGGCCTGTGGTCTCTGCCATGGCTGAACTCTGCTGCTGTGGACAAGAGTGGCCACAGACGGTGCGGAGGAGCATGGCCGTGTCCCGCTAAAACTCTTACTTACGGTGGGGGGGGGGTGCCTGGGTGGCTCAGTCCTTAAGCGTCTGCCTTGGGCTCAGGTCATGATCCCAGGGTCCTGGGATCGAGCCCCGCATTGGGCTCCCTGCTCAGTGGGAAGCCTGCTTCCCCCTCTCCCACTCCCCCTGCTTGTGTTCCCTCTCTCGCTGTGTCTCTCTCTGTCAAATAAATAAATAAAATCTTTAAAAAAAAAAAACAAACAATTCTTATTTACGGAACAGGTGATGGGCCAGCTGCAGTTTGCCAACCCCTATTGTGGAGAATAAGTGAGGTTCCTGGAGAAGGGGGTCCCAGCACGAGCACCCCACGAGTAGCAGCTGCAGGTGTCCCAGCTGTTCCTTACTGTCCTTGTCGTGTAAGGGCATCCAGCCGGCATCGGCAGCCCCCGAGTCTCTGTTCTTCTCACCACACTGCTGGGCTCCCCCTCCTCACTTTTGCCCCGGTCTGAGCCACTTTAGAGCCCAGATTTTGTGACTTCTTTTTTTTTTAAGATTTTATTTATTTATTTGAGAGAGCGAGGATGAGGGGGGCCGGGGGCGGTAGAGGAGGAGGGAGAAGCGGACTCCCCGCTGAGCCGGGAGCCCAACACGGGGCTCAATCCCAGGACCCCAGGATCATAACCTGAGCCTCAGGCAGACGCTTAATGGACTAAGCCATCCAGGCACCCCTGGATTTTGTGACTTCTCTTGCATTATTTATCTGTGGCTCACCTCTCTGTGCCAGGTGCTGCTGGGCGAGGGTATCGGGTGGGTACAGAAATAGGGGGGACCTGACGCCCCTGTCCTCGGGGTGCTGTGCTGGCCCTGTGAGGACATGGTGGAAATTTAAATGACACCAGGCTGAGAAGTCCGAGGTCGGGTCAGGGAGGAGAGCTCTCAGAGCAGCCTGGCTCCGGTGCCCCCGAGCTCACCCCGCTCTTCCTGCAGGTTATGACTTTGCTGCCGTCCTGGAGTGGTTCGCCGAGCGGGTCGACCGCATCATCCTGCTCTTCGACGCCCACAAGCTGGACATCTCTGACGAGTTCTCCGAGGTCATCAAGGCCCTCAAGAACCATGAGGACAAGATCCGCGTGGTGCTGAACAAAGCTGACCAGATCGAGACCCAGCAGCTGATGCGGGTCTACGGGGCTCTCATGTGGTCCCTGGGGAAGATCATCAACACCCCCGAGGTGGTCAGGGTATACATCGGCTCCTTCTGGTCCCACCCGCTCCTCATCCCTGACAATCGCAAGCTTTTTGAGGCAGAGGAGCAGGACCTCTTCAAAGACATCCAGTCTCTGCCCCGAAACGCTGCCCTCAGGAAGCTCAATGACCTGATCAAGCGGGCACGGCTGGCCAAGGTAGACTGGGGGTGGGGGCAGGGCCCCCTGCTGGGGGTGGCCCATGGGGGCTGGGACTGGCACTTGGGGCCCCAGGATTGGTCTGCCATGGCTTTTGGGGTGCCCGAGACCCATCCCCGCAGACCTACAGCCACACCTACGTTGCCCTGTGTCTAGACGGGTCCTCTGTGCGCCCATGGGTGTGGCCCTTTCTCAACTGAGTCTTCTTTTTTTTTTTTAAAGATTTTATTTATTTATTTGAGAGAGAGAGAATGAGAGACAGAGACCATGAGAGGGAGGAAGGTCAGAGGGAGAAGCAGACTCCCCGCTGAGCAGGGAGCCCGATGCGGGACTCGATCCCGGGACCCCAGGACCATGACCTGAGCCGAAGGCAGTCGCTTAACCAACTGAGCCACCCAGGCGCCCTCAACTGAGTCTTCTTGATGCATGTAGATGTTAAGCGGGAAGGGAACACTGGGCCAAGGGGCGGCCTGGGAAGTGGGGAGCCAGTGGGGGTGCAGCTCCAGTCCTCATCGGCTTCCCCTCCCAGGCCTGTTGATTGAGCACTCCGCGTGTGCGGGGTGCTGGGGACACAAGGGGACTGACACGCACAGTCCCTGCCCTTCCAGCGCGCACCAGTCGTACCGGGAAAGTGGAACATGTAAAGGGAAGTCAGGCACGGTTTTTTGTCCTCTCGTGGGATGCCGCAGAAGCAGGCGACTGGGAGGCCTCGGGTGGGTGCTGACGCATAAGCCAGGACAGGAAGGAGCTAGCAGAGAGATGGGGCGCAAGCCTGTGGGCCGAGGGAGAACCCTGGGCGGCCTCAGCCCCCAGAGGTCTCGTAAAGCATCCGGCCCCTCCCTCTGGCACCTGTTGGCGGCGTCTGGATCGCTCAAGAGCTTGGAATCTCAGCTCCAGGCCACGTACTTCAGGGAGACCCTGGCATGGCTGGGGCTGAGAGAGAAGGCTGATGCCCCCAGCGGGCCCCTCAGACACAGAGGGCCAGAACACCCCCCGATTGAGCACAGCTGCATATCCTGAGCCTGCCTGGAAAAGTCCACGGGCCGCCACCATGCACACGCATGGATCATGGATCCGTGGGGCTCAGAGGTCGGCTTCAGCGGGGACCCCATGCATCGCCGCTCCTCTGACGAAGTGGCCGCGGAGGGTAGGGGTGTCGGGGGGGCTAGGGCTTCGGCGAAGGCATGCTCCCGAGTAAAGGCCTGAGGAGTGGCGCCTCCTCTGCAGGTGGCAGGCCCCCCGCCGGGGAGAGCCAGGAGGAGCCCCGCGGCCCGCGCTCCTGCCTCCGGGAGCCAGCCGCGTAGCTCCGGCTTTTGAGAGTCCGCTGTGGGCCACGCACAGCAGCTCAGGCCGCCCCACACCGTCTCGAGGTCTGGAGTCAGGTAGCCTTTTGGTGCTCACCGTCTTGAGTAAAAAGAACTGACCCCTCCTCTTCTACCACCAATCTGCGTCTCCACACTGGTTACCAGAGCGCTCGTGGACCATACTGGAGTGTGCTAGAAGCACGAGCCCTCGGGCCCCACCCGGCACACCTGAACCGCCTGGGGATCTGTATGCACAGTGAGGTTGCAGAATCTGCTCTGGGGTCTTGCTCCTCTCTCACTTCTGGAAGCTTCCCAGTGCAGGGAGCTGGTTCTGAGAAGGGACCCCGTGAGAAAACCCGCATCACTGGCTCCTGGCCTCCCGGTTCTAGGCTGCAGGGAAGGGCAGCGCTGTTCCCTCCTTGGCCAGCACCCCCCCTCCCCCGGCAGGGCCGCCTGTGCCCTCTCGAAGCCTCCTTCCGGGACAGCACCAAGGGAGGGCTCCCCGTTCATCTGCAGAAATGGTGTGTCACCGCCTCCGGGCACCCTGAGTCACCACGCCTGGAAAACCCCGGGGCCTCCGATCTCGTGTTGCACCTGCAGCTCCAGGCTGTTTCCTTTTCCTGGAGCGAACGGCCTTCTGTGCCAACCTGCAAAGGCCAACCTACACGGGCCGTGACGGGCGGAGGGGCGGCTGCCTCGCTCTGTGACAGGCCTGCTGCCCTCGGGCCGTTCGCACACAGGGTCAGGCCGGGGGCGGGGCTTCGATGGCGCAGAGCTGGCAGTGGGGGGGGGGGGGGCGGCTGGCCGGCTGCGGCCCTTCCCGCCCGGACGTTACTTGGCGAGGCGGAGGGCTCTGAGGGCCTTGGAGGGTGCCCAGCGTTACCAGCCCGCCGTGGGGAAGTGAAGGGTGTGCCGCCCTTCGCTGGCAAACACCGAAGTAATACTGAGCTCAGATAAACTTCAGAACATCTGGGTGAAGCCTCATGTGGTTTTCCTAATCCTTACTCACGCCGAGCTCTCTGGGTGATACACTGAGCAGAACTCGGGCCGTGTTGGGGTTTTGAGAACTCGACGTCCGCAGCCACCGTGTGCGCATGTGGGATGGCGGGCTCCGCATCTCCGCCGCGGGACAGGAAGCTGGGGGTGCACCCGGGCCCCCAGAGAGCACGGGCCCCGGACTGCTTTGGGCGGTCCCCAGTGACGGTCCCGGTCCCGGCCTTTTGGGGCAGCCCGGCGCAGGCCCCCTGCCTACACGGTGCCCCTTCCTGTTCTCCAGGTGCACGCTTACATCATCAGCTCCCTCAAGAAGGAGATGCCCAACGTGTTCGGGAAAGAGAGCAAAAAGAAGGAGCTGGTGAACAACTTGGGAGAGATCTATCAGAAGATCGAGCGGGAGCATCAGATCTCCCCCGGGGACTTCCCGAACCTCCGCAAGATGCAGGTATGGCTGTCCCCCGCTCGCCGCCGTCCCTGGGACGGGGCCTCCCAGCTGGGAGTCCCTGAGTTTAGTGGCCGTGACACCGCAGAGGGGAATGCGGTGACTCACCCCCAGGGGTGGGGAAAGGGCGGGGCGCCAGGCCCTCCAGGACCATCCTGGCTCATCCCCTCCCCAGCCCTTCAGGGAAGGAACTGTTCCCACCTCCACTAAACAGACTGGGGAGCCAAGGCCAAGGGGCAAGCCTCGGTGGGGGCATGACCTGGGGCCGGCTCTGTGGCTCGGGACCCCTGCTCCGGGCACTCTACCTGGAGTCCATGGACACCTGACCCAGCCCTTCCCCCTCCCTTGCCCACCACAGGAGCTCCTGCAGACTCAGGACTTCAGCAAGTTCCAGGCCTTGAAGCCTAAGCTGCTGGACACAGTGGACGACATGCTGGCCAACGACATCGCCCGGCTGATGGTGATGGTGCGCCAGGAGGAGTCCCTGATGCCCTCCCAGGCCGTGAAGGGCGGTGCCTTCGACGGCACCATGAACGGGCCCTTTGGGCACGGCTACGGCGAGGGGGCCGGCGAGGGCATCGACGATGTGGAGTGGGTGGTGGGCAAGGACAAGCCCACCTACGATGAGATCTTCTACACACTGTCGCCCGTCAACGGCAAGATCACGGGCGCCAACGCCAAGAAGGAGATGGTGAAGTCCAAGCTGCCCAACACAGTGCTGGGGAAGATCTGGAAGCTGGCCGATGTGGACAAGGATGGGCTGCTGGATGACGAGGAGTTTGCCCTGGCCAACCACCTCATCAAAGTCAAGCTGGAGGGCCACGAGCTGCCCGCCGACCTGCCCCCGCACCTGATCCCACCCTCCAAGCGGAGGCACGAGTGACCGCCCGGCCGGGCCCACCGGGGGGAGGCGAGGGGCTGGAAAGACTGAGCAGAGTTTCCTCAGCTCTCAGAAAGGAAAACCACCATCTTTCTTTTCAGGCTGTTCGCAGGCCCAGCAGGGAGGCGGGTGATACTTGTATGTGAATGATGGAATTTTGTGCACAAGAACTATGGATATTTTTAATATATAACGTTAGAGGCAGCGTTCTTTCTTGCCTCCTCCATTTGACAGCCCCACGCACATGAGCCCCTGTCCTCCCCCCCCCGCCCAGCTCTGCTCTACAGCACGTGCCCACCCTGGCTCAGCCCCGACCCGCTGGCAGGTGCCGTGTGTAGACAGGAACCCCAGGATTCCAGTTTGTTTCTAAGCTGAGTACTGCTTCACTGACCCAGTGGCTCCTTCCCTGTCCAGCTCTGCCCCCTCCCCACGCTCCTGGATTAAGCTGGTTCTGGTGCCTTCTGCCTTGCCCTCCCCGGTGGCCCCCATGCACGGCCCTGCTCTTTGCTTTCACATCGCACCCCCTCCCCCAGCTTGACAGTCACAGAAGCAAGCCCAACTCCCTTTTTTATGAGGTCCAAGGGATGAGGAGGGATGCGAGAACGTCTCCCAGAAAAACATACAAGCTAGTTTTATTCTGTAAAGTGACACCTTTCATACTTGACCGAATTTTCCAGTAACTTCCCAACCTCTTGTTCAGAAGCTGTGATTTTTGTCTCCTTTCTCACACTCCAGCTAGGGGGCAGTTCCACCCAGGACCTGTTGGATGTGCAGAGCACACCCTGTCGAGGACCCCAGGGTTTGTGTTTCCTGCTTCTCCCTTTCACTCTCCTGGAACATTCTGGTGTACCTCCTCCCCCACCTTGGATGGGTGGTGGGCCCTCATGAGTCTGGCCTGGCTTGGTGCTCCAGCCTGGGCCTAGTGTCCAGACAGCAGAGATCAGGGACAACCCCGACCCTTCTCCTCGTACCTCCGTTCATTCTCCATGGAAGCTCTCTCCTCCCATCGAGCAGAGTGGGGCAGCAGATGTCTTGGATGTCCTTCGAATAACCTCCCTCCAGGCTGAGGAACGAGGGACTGGAGGCAGCGAGCAGCCAGGGCAGGCCGCCTCATCAGCTTTGCCTCGGCCGGGCTCTCCCAGCACAACCTCCAGGGGCCGGGACGCACTCCACTCACCGGCCCTTGCTGGAACCTCGGCGCGGGGAGCACGTTTGCCACCAGGCACTCCCAGGGTAGGTCTCAGGGACTCTGGTGGACCTCTTCTGGCACCACCGCCCCCCGCCCTCCAGGGCTGCTCCCCGGGCCCCCGTGGGGTCTGCGGGGTCTGTGTTACCTGCGTGTTACCTGCAGCTGGCTTCGGCCCACCATTGTGTGCAGTATTAGGTGAGGGCGGAGGCAGCCTCCTGGTGGGGAAGTCACTGTGAGGTGTCCTGGCTCCTCCCCACTTGCGTGTGGGAGGAAAAAGCAACCAAACACCACTTTTTTTTCTTGCATTAAAAAAAAAAAGTTTAATTGCGCTGAAGCTCTCGGTGCTTAGTTGTCTCTTCCAGGGGCCTGTCCCGCCCGGCGCCTGCTGGGATGCTGGCAGAGCATCTGGAGGGCCGAGGTGCCCGCAGAGACCGATGGGCAAGCCTGCCGGGGGGCGGTGGTGGTCCCCGCCCCGCGATGCTCAGCTCGGCGGCAGCTGCTGCCTTCTGCGGGGGTGGGAAGGGGTGAAGTCAGGAGAACTTCTGGTGACAGGCTAGGCTGGCCCCCCAGGGGCTGGGGGAGAAGGTACCCGCATTCTGCCACCTTCACAGCTTCTCCAACCTGGGCCCATCCCTCGCCGTGGGCAGATGGGGGCACCGGGAGGGGTCAAGTAGACAAGGGTGCACCGTGCTCCACGCTAGCCGCAGGGTGACCTGGAGCCTGGCCCGGCAGCGCACCAGCACTGACGAAAACACAATCGGGAAGGATGGGGCCAGCGAGGGTCAGGGGGACTGTTGGTTCCAGCGGAGTGAAGGGGAGGGGAGGGTGGCAAATCGGAAGCTGATGCGCCCTCGAGGTGCAGTCTGGGTGGAGACCGGCCAGGCCGGCCCGTGTGTGGCAAATGGCAGAGCACAAAGAGGTGCCCGTGGCTTTGGAGGGCCGGGTTGTGGGCTGCAGCTCGTGTGGCAGGCGTCCGGCCTGATGGCCAGTGGCCCAGCTAGTGGGGGGCCCACCGGCTCAGCTCTCCCGTTACCACTCAGAAGGTTTGCCTTGACCTCCAAAACCTAGAAGGTCACTTTTTCCCATTTTGCAGCCGGGAAGCGGAGACTCGGGAGAGCTGGGAGACTCAAACCCAGTCTGCCCGACTCCAGAACTCTCGAAAGCAGCCTTTAAAAAGGAAAAGCTCGAGGGGCGCCTGGGTGGCTCAGTCGTTAAGGGTCAGCCTTCGGCTCAGGTCATGATCCCAGGGCCCTGGGATGGAGCCCCATGTCCGGCTCCCTGCTTGGCAGGGAGCCTGCTTCTCCCTCTCCCTCTGCCTGCTGCTCCCTCTGCTTGTGCTCGCTCTCTCTGACAAAATCTTAAAGGGGCGGGGGGAGGAAAAGCTCGCTGTGTCCCCAAAGTCTGTGCCAAAGACTCAGGTTTGAGAACCCCACACTGAAGGTCCAACGAGGTCACTCCAGCCCAGGGCCTTGAAGGCTTGGGACAGCTAATTTCCAGGGGTCACCCAAGAGGTAGAGCGTGCTTGTTCAAGCTGTTAGAGAAAGAAAACACAACTTCTGAGTTCTTACGGAATGTGGCTGAGAGGCGCTGCTGGCCTGCTCTGCCCTTTTCAGCCAAGGCCCGCACTCTCAGCATGGGGGTGCTGCCCCAGGAAACCTCAGCATGGGGGTGCTGCCCCAGGAAATGGCTGCCCATCTGAGGCTTGAAGGAGGGGCCCTCAGCAGGTGTCTGCCCCCCTGCTGCTTCAGAGCTCCTGTCCTTGGTCTGTGTTTTATAGTTGGGGGGGGGTCTTCTAGGTTCAGATGTGGCCACCCTCCTGAGGGCCGGCCCCCTCATCCCTTCCTCCTCCCCGCCTCCCTAGCTGGCCAGAATCCTGGGCAAAAGGCCCCTCTTCAGAGACTAGTCTGGGGCACAGGGGGCTGTTTGCACCCAGCCCCCAGAGCTCCTGGAATGAGGTGTAGCACCTCAGAGCTCAGCACCCAGGGGGCACTGGGGCCCACCCCCTGTGTAGGCCCCAATCGACAGCTCTGTTTTAAGATTTTATTTTTTTGAGAGAGAGAGAGTGCGCATGAGCAGGGGGAGGGGCAGAGGGAGAGGGAGAAGCAGACTCTCCGCTGACCAAGGAGCCCAACGAGGGGCTCGATCCCAGGACCTCAGGATCATGACTCGAGCCGAGGGCAGACCCTTAACCAACTGAGTCACCCAGGTGCCCTGGCAGCTCTGTTTTACACATTGACATCCCACGTGAGAACACATCGGAATGAACATTCCTTCTACTTCCTAGTAAACAAAAAAGTAAACCATTGAATCCAACCCAGTGTCCTGTTCTTATCTCAGACGGGCTGGTTACAGGACTTGCCCAAAGCCACCACTCCTGCCCCTCTGCATTCAGAACACCCCAGCCGAGAAAGTACACAGAAGGCAGGCCTCAGGCCAGGCAGGGGCAGTTAGAATCCCAGCTCGGCCTCTTGTTAGGACTTAGCCTCTCCCTTCCCGAGGCTGTTTCTTCATGTGCCAAATGCAGGGACTCCAGCTTCACAGAGGGAAGGCCCCTGGGGTGCCCAGCTCCGGAGGCGCACCGTGGTTGGTCAGGGGGGTGGTAAGGATTGGTGCAGGGAGCCCAGCACCGCACCCAACTCCCAGAACAAAGCAGGCAGGACCCACCCTTCCCTGAAGCAGCTCGCAGACCGGGTGGCGCCCATGGGCCAGAGGGGTGGTGGCCAAGGGGGCTCAGGGCCTGGCTTCCTGTGCACCCAGAGGGATTGGTAATTATAAAACCACGTGGGGCTGCAGCCGCTGTGTGGAGCGTGGGAGCCCCTATAGTGTGCTGGAGCAACACAGAGAAGGGTTTTGGAAGAAAAACCAGGATGATGAAATCACCATATGTCCACCCATTTGGCGCTTTGGACTTTTCAGAGGACACACCCCTGGTGTGTTGGGGAGGGCGGGGGAGCGGGCATGCGGGGCTGCCAAGACTAGCTTGGGGAGTGGGGGCCCTCAACCCCACCATCTCTATCAGTCCTTCCCCGAAAAGCCACCCCAGTAGACAGGGCGATAAAACCCGAGTGCCTGAGTAGCAGGACACAGGGAACCCCCCCGACTTACCACCCCCCCTCAACCCCACACTCTAACTAGACAAACAAGCTCCAGCAGCCGTTGGTGGCCATCCTGCGGACCATTTGCCTCTCACGCCTGAGCTGGGCAGTTCTCCCTTGTGCACAGAGACAAGCGGCCCAGAGACAGAGGAAGTGACTTGCCCAAAGCCAATGCCTGGTCAACAGTAGGCAGGGCCGGATGAGGCCGCAGCCAGCCTCTCGGTTTTCCCTGGCTCTCTGGGGCAGGAGTGGGTCACTGCTTCTGCTGTGGCCAAGGGCAAGGGCAGCCTGGCACCCTAGTTAGCCCTGCAGGACCATCTGCTGAGAGTGGCTTCCGGAGCAGGGCTGGGAGGGGCTCAGCCTCAGCCACTGGGCCTGCATCTTGCTCGACCTTGGGGGAAAGGGGAGCCACAGACCAGGCTGGGGAGGCTTAAGATGTGGCCGTGGATGCAAGAGACCCTGGAGCCTGGCTTGTTTCTGGTCCCCTCATAGACCCAGAGGTCTATGGTCTGGGGGCGGGAGAAGCTGAGTGCCCTGTCACTCACTTGGGGCCCCCCTATCTGGGCTGGCCTCTCTCCCCTGCTAGGCCTGGGTCTCGCCATCTAAGGACCTTGGCAGAAGTCTATGTCAAGTCCACTGTGGACTATGTCCTCGAGGACCATGTCCTCGCCCCTGTCCCCAGCATCTGGGCACGACACGCTGCCCTCCTGCTGCCAGGTACTGGTGGACACCTGCAGCCTGGGTCAGGAGGCAAGCTGGCACTGCCCACCTCCCACCTCCCCAGCCTCAAGGTATATTCTATTAAGAGAAGGAAATAATAACCCCCTCCTCCCGAAGATAACAGATCTGCAGTCACGTTGAAATGCTCAGAAGCACAGTAGGAATGGAATGTAAGGTGTTATCCAGGTGATCTGCTCCCCACAGGGCTGGATGAGAGATGGTGCTGGCACCTCAATACCAAAGGGACTCAGAGCGGGGAAGAGGTTATGAGGGGAGCAGGTGTCCCTGCAGCTGGGTGGGCCTCCCACAAGCAGTCACCAAGAGGGCAGTGGGAAAGAGGGAGGTGGTGGGGGTCTCCTGCTCAGACCCACCCGCTGAACACCCACCGGCCTGGGCCAGGAGCCTCGTCCCACACAGGGCGCCCTGGGGCAAGGACCTGTGGCCCTACAGGTCTGGCTCACACACGCTCAGAGAACAGATCTGCTGAGGCAAAGCAGCGCTGCGTGCAAGAACTTTCTGCCCTCAGGGCTGGAGGACCGGCGGCTTGTGGAGGCTGGAGCAGGAGTTCAGGCACCTACTGAGTCCTGAGGGGCTTTCTGACCTTGAGGCCGCACAGGAGTGGGCAGGGCGCCCAACCCCCTTTACAGACAAGGAAACTGAGGCTTGGAACAAGGATGTGACAAAAACGAATACAGGGGGCACCTGGGTGGCTCAGTCATTAAGCGTCTGCCTTCGGCTCAGGTCATGATCCCAGGGTCCTGGGATCGAGCCCCGCATCGGGCTCCCTGCTCCGCGGGAAGCCTGCTTCTCCCTCTCCCACTCCCCCTGCTTGTGTTCCCTCTCCTACTGTCTCTCTCTCTCTCTGTGTCAAATAAATAAACAAAAAATCTTTAATTAAAAAAAAAAACCCAAACAAATACAGGACCAAATAGAATCAAGTACCGGATGGGTGGGGAGTGCCAAGCGCCAGTCCCTTCTCAGCCCAAGCAGACCTCAGCAGTACTCAGCTTTTGCTGCCTGTGACTCAGTTTCCTTTCTGCCGTCCTATGTGGAGATGGCATCTTTTTTTTTTTTTTAAGATTTTATTTATTTTTGCGAGAGAGAGAGAGAGAGAGAGAGGGTGAGAACACAAGAGGGGGAGGGAGGGGCAGAGGGAGAAGCAGACTCTCCATTGAGCAGGGAGCCCGACGCGGGACCCGATCCCAGGACCCTGAGATCACGACCTGAGCCGAAGGCAGACGCTTAACCAACTGAGCCACCCAAGCGCCCGGAATCTTTTTTTCTTTTTAAGATTTTTAATTTTCTTTTTTTTTTTTTTTAAGATTTTATTTATTTATTTGACAGAGACACAGCGAGAGAGGGAACACAAGCAGGGGGAGTGGGAGAGGGAGAAGCAGGCTTCCCGCGGAGCAGGGAGCCCGATGTGGGACTCGATCCCAGGACCCTGGGATCATGACCTGAGCCGAAGGCAGACGCTTAACGACTGAGCCACCCAGGCGCCCCAAGATTTTTAATTTTCTTAAGTAACCTCTATACCCTGGGGCTTGAACTTAAAACCCCAAGATCAAGAGACCCCGGCTCTATGGACTGATTCAGCCAGGGGCTTGTGTTGTGATGGTTTTTAGAGGGAGCCCCCAGTAAAAGGCAGGAATTTCAGGCATTCAGGTCACCATAAGGTGGGCTGAGTCAGCCAGGTCCCCCTGTGGGGATGGAGTCTTCTCAGCAAGAGGATAGCCTTGTCTGAGAATGGCATTCAGAGAGGCTAGGGACTTGCCAGAGGTCGCACTTGGAGTGATCCAGGACCCAGAGGCCTCACTGGTTGGCCCGTGACTGCTGACCCCTGCGGGCTGTGGCGGGCTGGGGGGCAGGGAATCAGGGTGGCCAAGAGGGGCAGTGAGGAATGGCCCATCTTCCCACCCAGGACACCTTCCCTACCCTAGAGTTCCTTAGGAGATGGGCACTTGAACTTGGCCTGAGCACCTGGCCCTCCTCTGGTCTCTGGCGCCCCCCTGTGGCCTGTAGTGGGGGGAATCTTCCTGTGGGCCCCACCCCAGCCCTGCCCATTAGGAGGACCCAGAATGCTTCAGGTGAGAGCGCACCAGAACTCCTGCCCCCACTCCCTGCCAGGAGTGAGTGAGACAGCCTGACTCCATTTCCCCACTTGGCTGAGGGTGGGCACAGGGAAGCCAGAGGGCAGGGCTCAGAGGACAGCAAATTGGAGGCCTGACAGAAAGTCCCCTGAGTACTGCCAGGGAGGCTCAGCTCAGCTCCGCAGACATTCACAGAGCGCCTCCTCCGCCAACGCTGGCAATGACTCTGTCCGGACTCAGGGAGGTCCCCGTCTGAGGGGGCAGGCAAAACCCCAAAGAGATCTTTTAATGGAAGAATTTGTTGTCTAAAGCCACTAAAATGCCCCACCCTTTGTTCCCTCCTCTTGGACAGACCCACAGTCCCATGGCGTCCGGTCCAGCCCAGCTGTCTCCAGCTGGGCAGAAATCAGAAATGCCACTGGATAGAATCAGTACCTCCACTCGCCCACCTCCTCCAGCCCAGCTTCCACCTCTCCTTGGTTCTCATGTTCCAGGCCGGCCGCAGGCCTTGCTCCCGCCTAGGCTTGAAAAGCCTGTGGTGGAGTTGCCAGCCCAGCCCCACTCCAGGGTCTAGCTGCGGGGCCTCCTCACCCTCAGCCTCTCCATTCACCTTCGTCCTTCTCAAGCCTCAGTGTGTCCATCTGCCAAATGGGTGTAACCATCCCCGCCTCACCTACCTCTCTCCCAAGTCGGCTGTAACGATACAAATAAAATGAAATCTGAAACTACCGAGGTTCTCCCCGCCAGCCCTTGGGAGTGGGGGGGGGGGGGTGCCAAGCGCGGCGGGCATCCCGGGGAGAGAGGGGACTACAACTCCCATCCGGCTCCGGGGCCGCGGGCGTCTCCAGCCCCCTCTCCCTGACCTGAGGGAGAGGCAGTCGCTGTCCCAGGGCGGGCGAGGGAAGCCGAACTGCCCCGGGCATCCCCTACCTAGGTTAGGGGTCGGCGAAGGGCCGGGTACGGCTGGGTCTGGGGCCGCGCGGAAATCCAGGCAACCTTCCCGGGCCCCTACGGGAAGACCCCCTTGTCCAGCCCAGCCAGGAGTTTACTGTTCGGGGCCCGCCCCCCCACTTCCTGGCCCAGGGTTGTCTCCGCCCCCGCGCGCCTCCGCCCTCCCACCTTCACCTCCAGTCGCGTCTCCCATTGGCCGGCGCTCACCTGCCCGTCCGTCGAGGGGCGGGGCAGAGGGCGGGGCGCGGCGCCCAGGTGTGGGCGCGCAGGCGGCAGCCGAGGAAGGTGACAGCGGGGAGGGCGGGAGGGGTGGGGGGAGGACTCGCGGACGACCCGCGGACCGACAGACGGACGGGCCGACGGGCGGGCATGCGGGAGGCCCGGCTCTAGCCCGGGCGCGGGGCTCCGGCCGCAGCCATGGAGCGGCGGCTGCGCGCGCTGGAGCGGCTGGCGCGGGGCGAGGCCGGCGGTGGCCCCGGGCTCGACGGCCTCCTGGATCTGCTGCTGGGGCTGCACCACGAGCTCAGCAGCGCCCCCCTCCGGCGGGAGCGCAACGTGGCGCAGTTCCTGAGCTGGGGTGAGTGACCCGGGCGGGACCGAGGTGGGGCCGAGGTGGGGCGGCCCGAGGGACACCGCGCCGGGACCCTCTCCCCCCCGCGCCCTGCGCCCACAGACCCTCCCGCAGGGAGCGGCACCCCCACGGGCTCCCCGCGCGGAGCCCGCACCGGCCCTGATTCGTGCCGCCCGACCCCTTGGGCCCTCTCAATTAGCTGCACACCTTATCCTGCCTCAGACTCACACGCACACACTCCTTCCCGCGCACAGAAGCTGGCGCGCGTACACAACACACAACTTACACAGACACACAAGCTTGGTCCCAAGTATAGACTTCAGACTCAGGTACACAATACACGGGCTACAGAGTCACGTCAGGGGTTCCTCACTCACACATCATACTTCATGACCCTGGAGAACAAACAGGCACACATGCAGACCCCTGTGTGTCTCCCACACTGACACACGCGCTTTCTGTCTCGCCCATACCACATGGACACGCTGAGATAATCACAGCTCAAGGAGAGATCCGGGGAGCCCCACACTTCACCCTGAATACCACCCCAACCGCACTGGCTGTTACACACTTGCCTACTTCCACTCACAGATCCACAGGGATCGCACACTTGCAGACATTCACACACAGACACTTCCATCTCTCGGCACACAAGGCCACCCCAAACTGGACACAGGAACCAACCTCAGCCCCTTGCCCTGTGCAGGTCGCTGGCCAGGCTTCCTGAGGTCTATTCCCCAGGGCCGCGGAGGGGGGCTTGGCTGGAGGTGGGTCTGCACCCCTTCTGGTTGACTCCTCTGAGTCACCGGAAGTGGCTGACCTGGGGCAACCCTCGACCCAGTGCGGACACCGGCCCGGCACCAGCCGCAGGCCTCCTGCTTATGTCTGGCCAGGCCGTGGGGGGAGGGCACAGGGGCCCGGCCTGGAGGGTGGGGCGAGGCCGGTGTTTGCCCAGTGGGTGACTAGCGTTCCTGGCACTCCTTAGCTCTGGGCCGGCACGAGGCCTGGCCTGGCCTGGTTGGGGGCCTGCAAGACCTTCCAGTGAGCTAGCCCCCAGCCCAGCCCTGTCCTCCAGGGTGAGGGCAGCCAGGAAGCCCCTGCCTCCAGTGCCTGCCACGCTCCCTGGCACTTCTGCACCTTATTCATGTGTATCTGACCGTGTTGTCATCACCCGCTGTGACGCCCACGCACACGTGTGTGTGTGTGTGTGTGTGTGTGTGTTTGCACACACATGTGCTCCTCCCTGCCAGCCTCTGGCATCTCCGCCTGGGACCCCAGCATGGGGGCCTGCCTGTCTGTTGACATCTCCCGAGGTAACCGGCAGGGCAGTGACTCACTCAGCTCCTGCTCCAACTCGTCCCCGCTCCTGCCCAGAGCCCCCGTCCCCTGCGGCAAGGCCAGAGGACTGGGCAGCCTGTCCTGGGGACCGTGATCCTCCTGACTATGGCCCCTGGCTTTGGCTCCTGTCCGGCTGATGGGTAGCCACCTGGCCTCAGTTCCCCCTTGGAGGCCTTGGGCTGCTCCTCCCAGCCGCACGCACAGGCCTGGGAAGGAGACAATTAATTTCTGTAATGAAGTTTCCACACCACCCTTGCTGCGGGGGTTCTGCCCGATAAACCTGTGGAGCAGCTCTCTGTCCCACCCACAGACCCGCCCAGCTGGCAGGGAGTTTACCTGCTGGCAGGGGGAAACTGAGGCAGGGAGCCAGACTGCAGCTGCCCCCAACCTCCCACCCGTCATTCTTGCCTCCCTGAGTTTCCAGGCTCCAATTCCCTCCCCAGGCCTGTGGCTTCTCCGGGCCTGGAAAAGGCCTGGGAGTGGCTGGAGATGCCCCTCAAGGGAGTGTCAGGGACTGGGAGATGTGGAGGCTCTTGCTCAGATAAAAGCCAAGTCCAGAGAGGGAGGCAGGGCCTAGAGCTGTAGGGCTGGTCAGGCCTGGAGAAGATTTTGAGTGTTCGCTCCCTCAGGTGCCAGCATCAGGCACCAGGGAAAGGTTTTTTGGCTCCGTTTTTAAGTCTTGTGAGAATGTGGGCAGACCTATTTATGCCTGCAGACAGAAAAGGCCCCACATGGGGAGCACAAAGCCTGTCCTCCCGGAGCCCTGCGGGACCACTGTGTGACTTGTCCTCCGGGGCTGCCTCAGGCCTTGCTCCCAGCCAGGTACCTCTGTGCCTGTAGGGTCCCAAGACCAGGGCTCACAGCTCCCAGTGGCAGGGAAGCCTCTCTGGGGACAAGGAATGTTGTCCGTCCAGTTTCCCAAGACAGGCCCAGGCCTGGTCCTGCTAGGCGCCAAGAACTGTGAGCTGAGGGTGGGAACGGTATCCCCTTCCTCCTCAGGGTGACCTGGTCAGCCAGGGTCAACCCCAGACTGGGAAGGACTACAAGTTCCATCAGCCCCTGGGACTGAGACCGCCTCGAGTCTGGGGACGCGGGTCCAGGGAACCATGGATTTCAGGAGGTCTGGGGGTCAGGTGGTCAGCAAAGCCCAGACCCCACCTTCCGTGCTTCCTACTCTTAGCAACTTGACCAGAGGCCACCCCTGGGGAGGCCATCCCTGCTCTGGCCTCCTGGGGGTTGCAGCTTCTACTTTCCTCAGGCAAGAGAGGGAGCCAGGGCCCTCCCTGTGGGTTCCCTGAGCCCTACTCTGTGCCCCTCAGCCAGCCCCTTCGTAGCGAAGGTGAAAGAGCTGAGGCTGCAGAGAGATGACTTCGAGATCTTGAAGGTGATCGGCCGAGGGGCCTTCGGGGAGGTGAGCAAAAGGCATGGGGTAGGTGGGAAGATGGGGTTCGCACCTGGGCAGAGCTGACCCCGGTGCTCCTATGGCCTCAGGTCGCCGTGGTGAGGCAGAGGGACAGTGGGCAGATTTTTGCCATGAAAATGCTGCACAAGTGGGAGATGCTCAAGAGGGCCGAGGTCAGTTTGGGGTCCGATGGGACTTGGGCACCCTACCAAGGGACAGGGGGCGGGTTGTGCTGCCACTGGGGCATACAGGGCATTCTGGGGAAGGGGCAGGAGAGGCTGCTGAGCCTGCAGAGGACCCACCCCAACAACTGCCAACCTCCCCCATTGCTTCCCCACGATAAGCCTTTCTTAGAAGCTAGCGTAGTTCCCATTTTCCTTATGATAACACTGAGGCCCAGAGCCAGAGAGCACAGGCTCTGGCTTACACAGGCAACCTCAGTCCCAGCTCCTAGATTTACTTATTCTTCATCCCGTGAGCTGGGGAGGAGGGTTTCCTGGGCCCTGATCCCATCCTTCCCCCTCCTCCCCAAACCTGCTGCAGACTGCCTGTTTCCAGGAGGAGCGGGATGTTCTGGTGAAGGGGGACAGCCGCTGGGTGACTGCTCTGCATTATGCCTTCCAAGATGACGAGTACCTGGTGAGGAGACTCGGCAAGGTTGGAGGGTGTTGCCTGAGGACAAAGGAGATGCTGGGTCTGAGGAGAGAGAGACCCCTCCTATGGGAACCACGAGGCTTCCACTCCCCACCAGCTGCTGGGCCTGGAGCCCTTGCCTGAGCTCTGGCTGGAAGCTGGCGACCCTAGAGCTGCTGGGAGACACTCTCGCCTTCCCAGAACCCCTCAGAACCATGGGGAGGTGGGCAGGAGGCAGGGCCCTGGGACAGGTACCCCCCTACCCTCCCCGTCTGATTCTTGCCCACCCCCCCCTTCCACCACCATCCAGTACCTGGTGATGGACTACTATGCTGGTGGGGACCTCCTCACTCTGCTGAGCCGCTTTGAGGACCGCCTCCCACCCGAGCTGGCTCAGTTCTACCTGGCTGAGATGGTGCTGGCCATCCACTCTTTGCACCAGCTGGGCTACGTCCACAGGTAGGGCCCGCAACCCACCTGCTGACTGCCCTGGGGACAGCTGACAGTTGCTGAGCACCCACCACATGCCACGCCCTATGCTGGGTGCTTCGTATACACGATGCCTTTGAATCCTCATGCTAAAAACCTTATGTGATCGGGATTGCCCTTGTCCCCACTTTACAGGTGAGAAAGTCAGGGCTTAGCCTAGGTAAGCACCTGGCTTGAGGTGACTCAGCTAGCAGTTTGCACCTGGGAAGTCTGACTCCTGTGTAACCCCCGGCGTGCCCTGCTGCCTCCAAAGATCATCCTTACGGGTCGCTTTTCCCAATCTAACCACCTTCTTCCTTCTTGAGAGCCAGGAGGCCTTGCCACCAGCCTCCACCCCCCGCCACCGGCCCCCCGCCATATGCATGCACACACATTGTTCTTGTGTGCTCACGGGAATACGTGTGAGCAGATACATGCTAGTGTTTGCGTGTGCCCATGTACTCACATCCAGGCAGGTGCCTGAACACACACCTACACCCGTGGGTCAAGCCCCTCTTCCCCTGCGCTCTTCCAGGGATGTCAAGCCAGACAATGTCCTGCTGGACATGAACGGTCACATCCGCTTGGCTGACTTCGGCTCATGCCTCCGTCTCAACAACAGTGGTATGGTAAGGCCCCAGGGTGAGGGCAGGGGCACCCGGCCCGGAGAGCTCCCAGGGGAAGGAGGGACTGAGTCGAGGCCCCAGGTGGGGTCAGCAGGCTGGCTAAGCCTGAGGGAGGGGGGGTGTCAGGGCCAGACCGGGGGCTCTGGTGAGGGGCCATCAGGCCTAGCCAAGCCCAAGGCTGTCCTCATGGCGTCCTCACCGCCCCCCCCACCAACCAGGTGGATTCGTCAGTGGCAGTAGGGACACCGGACTACATCTCCCCCGAGATCCTGCAGGCCATGGAGGAAGGCAAAGGCCACTACGGCCCACAGTGTGACTGGTGGTCCCTGGGCGTCTGTGCCTACGAGCTGCTCTTCGGGGAGACGCCCTTCTATGCTGAATCCCTGGTGGAAACCTACGGCAAGATCATGAACCATGAGGTCTGGCTGCCAGGCTCTGGGGCTCTGGGAGGGCAGCAGGAGTCCTGAGCCCCCACGGCCGGACAGCCGCAGATGGGGGTGGGGTCCTGGGTGCCCACCTGCACCCCTCCCTCCCCCTGGCCTGCAGGACCATCTGCAGTTTCCCTCAGACGTGCCTGACGTGCCGGCCACTGCCCGGGACCTGATCCGCCAGCTGCTGTGCCGCCAGGAGGGGCGGCTGGGTCGTGGGGGGCTGGACGACTTCCGGAACCACCCCTTCTTTGAAGGCGTGGACTGGGAGCGACTGGCAACCAGCACCGCCCCCTACATCCCTGAGCTTCGTGGGCCCATGGACACCTCCAACTTCGATGTGGACGACGACACCCTCAACCATCCGGTGAGTAGTGGGTCCCACTGCCTTGACCCTTGCTGGCTGTGGGAACCCCCCAGAAGTTCTCCAGAGCAGCTGCTGGGTGGAGGATGAGGCCCTCGCACTCCAGAGGCTCACGGGCATTATGGTTCACCTGAGCGGGTTTACCTGTACCGCGGTGGGTTTTAACGGATGGAGGTCCTCGGACCTCAAGTATCATCCTGTTAACCAGAGGTCTTGTAAGGAAGAAGACCCTAGCAGCGCCTGGGAGGCCGTGGCCATAAGGACTTGTGGGAGTCGTGGTCTGTTTAGGTGGGGGCCACGTCACCCTCCTCAGTTCCCTCTGAGCAGGAGGAGGTCGGCACTCCCAGTCCCAGGGGAGTCTCCTGGGTCTTGAGCCTCAGCCTGGAGCCAGGCCTGCCTGTTGAGAGTGACACTCCTTCCCCTCCTTCTGCAGGGGACCCTCCCACCACCCTCCCACGGAGCCTTCTCCGGCCACCACCTGCCATTCGTGGGCTTCACCTACACCTCGGGCAGGTGAGTCTCGTCCTCACATACCTAGAGGGAGGCCTGGCCTGGAGTACACTGGGCACGTGGCCTGCTGGGACCCCGGGAAAGAGGCTGAATGGCCTACCTGGTGCCTGCCTGTGACAGGTGGTCCGGGAGTGTGCTCGGAGCCCTCGGGAAGACACCTCCCCCGTCCTCAGATTCTGGTGGAGCCCTGCCTATGCCCCCATGGGTCCTATCCCAGCATCTGCCCCTTAGAGGACCCTCCATGCAGGCTGAGAATGTCCTGGACTTAGAACTAGAGGCCTAGAGTTAGACGGGCCCCTCCAAGTCCCTGAGCTGCGCTTTATGCCTCTTTATGCCGATTTTACACTGGGTCGGGTGATCTAGTTCTTTCGAGGGGCTGGCCTGAGACTGCGCTGAGAAGGCACTCTGATGTGCAAGCAAAGGCGTCTGACCCGCACTCCGAGCGCCACTGTGTGCTGGGCATGGGGCCAGCTGGCCCAAATCTCCCCGTCCTCGTGCCAGTCCCTGGAAGAGGGCCTGTGAGGAAACTGAGGTGTTCCTCAGATATGTTAGGTGACTGTTCAAAAGGGCCAGGGCTGGGGCTTGAACCTGGGTCTGGGGGACCTTGGGGCGCAGCCCTGGGCTGGGGTCTCGTCCAGGCTGGTCTTTTTCTGCCGGCACGGAGCCCAGGGCTGGGTACAGAGCTGGCGGACAGAGGCTGTTTCTTGGGTGAACGGACGACTGGATGCGGGAGGATGGTGGGCTCTGCGGGGGAGGGTTTTCTGCCAGCATGGGTCGCCCTGCTGTCCCCAGCCCGAGCCCTGAGAGCAGCTCTGAGCAGCTGGCTGGCCTCGAGCAGCAGCTCCATTGTCTGGAGCAGGAGAAGATGGAGCTGAGCCGGAAGCTCCAAGGTACGGGCTCCCCAGCCGGGCCAGGGTGGGTCTGACCCGGGAGCTACTGCTGGACTAGCTACTCACCGACGGGTGCCCCCGCTCCGCAGAGGCCCTGCAGGTCTCCTCAGACCACCGGGAGCTGGAGCGCCTACGGAAGGAAGTGCAGACCCTACGGGGCAGGCTGTCAGGTATCCCGCCCCCCCGATGCCACCCCATGTCTCTCCCCCATGCTCACCCCAGAGGCTGAGCAGCTTTCCCCAGCACACCTGAGTCCAACCTGGATTCCAGTCCCGCCCCGACTCTGTACATGAGGTGTGATCTCAGGGAAGTATTTTAAACTTTCTGAACCTACGTGTAGAAAAATGGGCCAAGGAGACCCACTTCTGGGGCTGTGGTGGGGGTTCTGTGAGCCGCTGCATGCAGCATGTCTGGCTGAGGCCATCAGTACGTGTGGGCCTCAGTGACGATTCCTGGCAGAGACACCGAGGGACAGCAAGGCTCAGACGGAGGGTGGTAGCCTGGGCCAGGACTGCGACCTACGGCAGGAGCGAGACCGGCTCGTCCGGGTGAGGGTCTGGTGAGGTGCGGGGTGCGGCCCAGGGCTCCATGCTAAGGGGGTCCATGCCCTGACTCCAGGCCTTGCCCTTCCCCCCCTTCTTGGGCTGCCCAGGAGCTGGCCGAGGCTCAGGCAGGGCTGCGGGGGCAGGCACAGGAGCTCCGCAGAGCCCAGGAGTGGCAGGAGGACCTGCTCCAGAGGCTGCAAGAGGCCCAGGAGAGAGAGGCGGCCACAGCCAGCCAGACCCAGGCCCTGAGCTCCCAGCTGGAGGAAGCCCAGAACAGCAGCAGAAGGGTGAGTGATGGGGGCGGGTGGGGACAGCGGCAGAGCCCTGCCCCTGTGGCCCCCCAGGGTGGTTGGAGGAAGCCTAGGGAGCTCAGGCCTCGGGGCTGGCAACGCCATGTGCCTGTGCGGCCCCACTGTGGCTGACCGAGGCCCGAGCCAGGGGATGTGTTTTGGCGGGGGGTGGGGGGTGGGGGCGCGGCTGGAGGTTCACTGCCTGCATTCCTGCTGTGGCCGGCAGGCCCCAGAGTCTGTGGCAAGGCGGGGGAGTGGCTCAGGGTGGACATGGTCAGCAGTGGCTGCCCCCACGCCTCGTCCCAGTTGCAGGCCCAGGTGGCCACCCTCTGCCGGGAGGTGACCCAGCTCCAGAGACAGAGGGAGCGAAGTCTCGAGAAGGAATCTTTCCGGGTCAAGGTAGTGAGGTCTTACCCTCTTCCAAGGGGCACTTCCCTTGGCCCAACCTACTCAGGGCCCTGAGGGCCCCACCTGGGTCCCTGGGAGGGGTGGGCCATAGCTCCTTAGGCCCCTGCCCTGACCCCTCTCTGTGTCCTCAAGACCATCCACACAGCCTCTGAAACCAATGGCACGGGGCTGCCTGAGGGCGGGCCTCAGGAAGCGCAGCTGAGGAAGGAGGTGGCTGCCCTGCGCGTGCAGCTGGAGCAGGCCTGGGGCCGCGGGTGAGTTGGGCTGCCGGGGTGGGGGACTGGAGGGGGGCCTGTGCTGGGAATCATCGAGTCATCCTCTCTTCCCCAGGCTGAGTGGGAAGGAGGAGGCTCTGTGCCAGCTACAGGAAGAGAACCGGCGGCTGAGCCTGGAGCAGGAGCGGGTGAGCACGGCGGATGGAGGGCGGACAGACTGACAGGCAGTGGGGCAGGGGTGGGGAGCTGGCCGGGTGGGTGGTCCGAGCTGCCAGGGTCCCAGAGCAGGCGGTCTCCCCAGCCCGGTAGCACCCACAGCTGGCAGGTGAGCTACGGTGGGTAAACTAGGGTGGACACAGATGGGGCTCCGGGGCGTGCAGGGGCCCCTGGGGACTGACCCTTCTTCCCGCCTGTCCCCCAGCTGGTGGAAGAGCTGGAGCGGGAGCAACAGAGCAAGCAGCAGCTGGAGGGCGAACGGCGGGAGACGGAGAGCAACTGGGAGGCCCAGATCGCGGATATCCTCAGCTGGTGGGGGCCAAGGGGCTAGTGGGGGAGGGGCTGGGCCCAGGCGGGGCCAAGGGTCCAGGCCAGGTACCTGAGCCCCCTTCCCAATCAGGGTGAATGATGAGAAGAGCTCAAGAGGCTACCTGCAGGCCCTGGCCACCAAGATGGCCGAGGAGCTGGAGTCCTTGCGGAACGTGGGCACCCAGACGCTCCCTCCCCGGCCGCTGGTGAGCCCCTACAAACACCCTGGGGGGTGGGCGTGCTAGGAGCCTCACTCGGCAGGCGGGGACACCGAGCTCATGGAAGATCAGTGACTTGCCTGAGCTCACAGCAGGTCAGTGGCCAGTCTAGGGCTTTGAGTCTGGCCAGGTGGCATGGACGGCAGTGCGCTAGGGTGGAAGGGGCCTCTGAGGCAGCCCCTTATCTGGGTGCCCCCTGGCCACCAGGACCACCAGTGGAAGGCCCGGCGGCTGCAGAAGATGGAGGCCTCTGCCAGGCTGGAGCTGCAGTCGGCCCTGGAGGCCGAGATCCGGGTGAAGCAGAGCCTGCAGGAGCGGCTGACACAGATGCAGGAGGCCCAGCTGCAGGCCGAGAGGTGAGAGCACGGGCAGGCCCTGCAAAGGGGGCTCCGGACCTCTGCGGGGGGCTCTGACGAGCTCTCCCTCCCTCAGCCGCCTGCAGGAGGCCGAGAAGCAGAACCAGGGCCTGCAGCAGGAACTGGCTGCGCTGCGGGAGGGACTGGTGGCCCGCGGCGCAGGGGGTAAGTGCTCGTCTGCCTGCCTGTCTGGGAGCGAGGCCCCCGCTCAAGCTTCATGGGGACCAAGGGGGGCCCACGACGGCCTTACAGAGCTGTGGAGACAAGAGCTTGTTCCAGACTCTGCTGCTTACCCCACTGTTACCCGGCACTTACGGAGGCCACCACAGCCTGCAGTCATTGCTCCGTTTCACCAAGGTGGAAACTGAGGCTCCTGCTGGCCCCCAGTTCCTCAGGAACGAGTGTTAGGGCTGGGCCAGGGACCCACCTCCAGTGACCTGTGCTCTCTGTTTGCAGACACTAAGCCCTCGAACTCCCTGATTCCCTTCCTGTCCCTCCGGAGCTCAGAGGTAAGAACTGTGCGCGCAGGCTGGTTGGGAGGAGTCCTGAGGAGAAGCACAGGGGCCTTGACTCCCCCCACCCCGCCCCATCTCACTCCCCAGAAGGATTCCGCCAAGGACCCTGGCCTCTCAGGGGAGGCCCTGAGGCCTGGTGTGGAGCCAGAGTTGAGGCCAGAGGGCCGCCGCAGCCTGCGCCTGGGGGTGAGGACAGGCGGGAGTCCCGCGTCTGGGGGGCTGGGCCCCACCGGCTGCCTGTGCCCTCCTCACCTGTTTGCTTGCCTACCCCCAGGCCGTGCTCCCCAAAGCACCTGCTGCTCCCACCGCCCCTGCAGAAGGTCCTCCTGTAAAGGTCAGCACCTGGAGGGGTGGAGCAGGGTGGGGGCACCAAGCCATTCTGCCAGGCCTCCAAGGACCTGCTTGGGTCCCTCCATGGGCATGATGGCTGGCAGAGCCCACGGGGGACGGTGGCAGTGAGTTGGAGTGCTGTGACAGACTCGCTGGGGCTGGGTTCACAACGCCACGGGCCCATTCCCCCATCGCACCTGACCCCTCAGGCTGGCCTCGGGGGTGGGATGCAGGCCGCTGGGAGGCCACGGTCAGGCGAAGGTAACGGGCGTGTCCCACCTCCCCAGCCTGGCTCACACGCGCTGCGGCCCCGGAGCTTCCCATCCCCTACCAAGTGTCTCCGCTGCACCTCGCTGATGCTGGGCCTGGGCCGCCAGGGCCTAGGCTGTGACGGTGAGGCCCCCACCCCACCTTCATGCCCCCCTCCCGTCCCTGGGTGGAAGGAATGAGACGGCCCTGATCTTGACACACCTCGACTTTCTGCGGCTCGTTTCCCGCTGCTCCATTTTGCTCTCTTGTTTTGTTTCTTCTCACGTGATGGGGGAATTGGTGAGAGTTCAGAGTCCTGGTTCCGGGCTGTCCCCACCCAGCCTCACACCACCGGCTTCTCCTGCTTTCCCCACAGCCTGTGGCTACTTCTGTCACTCAGCGTGTGCCCCCCAGGCCCCGCCCTGCCCTGTGCCCCCTGACCTCCTCCATGCAGCCCTGGGAGTGCACCCCGAAACGGGCACGGGCACAGCCTACGAGGGCTTCCTGTCGGTGAGCGGTGGCTGGCCGGGGAGGAGGCGGGGGTGGCCAGCGCGGGCGGAGCCCAGAGCCCGGCGGGCCCTCCCATGCTTGCCTTACCCCCTGCCCCCCCGCAGGTGCCACGGCCCTCGGGTGTCCGGCGCGGCTGGCAGCGCGTGTTCGCGGCCCTCAGTGACTCCCGCCTGCTCCTGTTTGACGCCCCTGACCCACGGCTCAGCCCGGCCAGCGGGGCCCTGCTGCAGGCCCTGGATCTGAGGTGGGTGCCCAGCAGGGGCGAAGGGCTGCAGCGGTGGGGGGCGGCGGCCAGGGGCCCTGTGACCTCTGACCAACTCCATGGGCCTCTCCAGGGACCCCCAGTTCTCAGCCACCCCGGTCCTGGCCTCTGATGTTATCCACGCCCAGTCCAGGGACCTGCCCCGCATCTTCAGGGTGAGTGCCAGGCAGGCTGGGCCGGGCCACCTTCTGCCTCCACGCAGCCCTGCTCCAACCACCCTCCTCTATGTCCTTCTCCGTGGCTGCCCCACCTCCGCGCCACCTCCACAAGGACAGCTATGGTAGCCTCCATCCCACAGTGCGGTTTGCTTTCTGTTTGTGAAGCTGGCCGTGTTCTGCTCATTTAGAACCCTTCTGTGGCTTCCCATCACCCTCGGTGCTCCTGACCGTGGCCTTGAGGCTTCACATTTCTGATCCTGTGGGTCTCCCCCGCCTCCCTCTGGAGCCTCTCTCTGCTCGGAACACGGCTCGCTTTCTCCAGTTCCAAAAGTGCCCTGTAACCACGGACCCTTCCCATCCTGTTTGCTCTGCTTGGCTCAGGCCGCCCCCGAGCCTCTCTCCAGCCTGGACCATTCCTGGTTACTCCACGCACCCCCTGGGCTCCAGCAGAAATGTCTCTTCCCCGGGGAGGTCATCTTTCACTGTCGGCCTGGGGCTGTGTGTTTCCACGATGCCCCGTCCCTCCCCGACCACGGCACTGGCTCTGGGCTCTGGCCTTGTTGGTGGGACAGTCTGACCGTCCTGTCTGGCGAATCACCTGCTGTAAGACAGCTTCTGGCCCTGCACCTGGCCGCTCACCGGGTGCCAAGAGGCATCGACCAGGGCGGAGGGAGGGGATGGCCGGCTGTCGGCCCACAGCCTGCAGCCTGGGTACCTGCCCACAGGTGACAGCCTCCCAGCTGACCGTGCCCCCCGCCGTGTGCACCGTGCTGCTGCTGGCCGAGAGTGAGGCCGAGCGGGAGCGCTGGCTGCAGGTGCTGGGCGAGCTGCAGCGGCTGCTGCTGGACACGCGGCCAAGGCCAAGGCCGGTGTACACACTGAAGGAAGCCTATGACAATGGGCTGCCACTGCTGCCCCACGCGCTCTGCGCCGCCGTCATCGGTGAGCCGCATGCTGAGGGGCATTGCCCTGGGCGGGCTCCGGGGAGGAGTCTGGGCCTGTTGGGAGGGTCCCTGCCCAGTCCCTACAGCCATGAGCTGCGGACGCTCCGCATTACGGACGTCAGCCTCCCCTGGGCGTGGCTATGTGGGCAGCCTGAGCCGGGGGGCCGGGGGCTTGGCTCCTGCCACTCCATTTCTCTGTGCCTCAGTTTCTGCTCTTTCTCAAAGAATCTTAAGTGAGTGAAAAGAGCAAAGGCTTTTAGCAAGAGACGAATGAGGGCTCCCGTGCTGGCTTTCTTACTGGCAGCAGGGAGACCACAGGGGAGCCTCACCCCACCTCCTGTGGGGCTGCTGTGGTCGTCCAGGAGCCTGGCGCTCAGCGGGACCTCCATGAGGAAGTGAGGGAGCAGTGCCTCCTGGCTTCCCCGGGCAGCTGGCCGCGGCCCTGAGCCAGCCCCTGCCCTGGAGAGCTGGGATCGCCATCCCCATGTCCTCAGGAGAAACTGAGGCTCAGCAAGGACAGGCAAGCTGCCTCGTCTCCGGCTTCCAGATGGGCTCCCTGACCCCTGATTCTCTTCCTCCCTCTACTAGACCAGGACCGGCTTGCCCTGGGCACCGAGGACGGGCTGTTTGTGATCCACCTGCATAGGAATGGTACATGCCAGGGTGGAGCTGGGTGGGGGCCAGCCCCAGGGGCCAGAGGAGGATGGGCATGGGGCTGTTCTTCACCCACCTGCTGGTGACCCTCCCCTTTGCCAACCCCGAAGACATCTTCCAGGTGGGCGAGTGCCGGCGGGTGCAGCGGCTGGCTGTGAGCCCCGCGGCGGGCCTTCTGGTCGTGCTGTGTGGCCGTGGCCCCAGCGTGCGCCTCTTCGCCCTGGCCAAGCTGGAGAGCACGGAGGTGGTGGGTGCCAAGATCCCCGAGTCTCGAGGCTGCCAGGTGCTGGCAGCCGGGTGCATCCTGCAGGCCCGCACCCCCGTTCTCTGTGTAGCCGTCAAGCGCCAGGTGCTCTGCTACCAGCTGGGCCCAGGCCCGGGGCCCTGGCAGCGCCGCATCCGAGAGCTGCAGGCACCCGCACCTGTGCAGAGCCTGGGGCTGCTGGGCGACCGGCTGTGCGTGGGAGCCGCTGGTGCCTTCGCCCTCTACCCGCTGCTCAACGAGGCTGCGCCCTTAGCGCTAGGGGCCGGTCTGGTGCCCGAGGAGCTGCCACCGTCCCGCGGGGGCCTGGGCGAGGCGCTGGGCGCCGTGGAGCTCAGCCTTAGTGAGTTCCTGCTGCTCTTCACCACTGCGGGGGTCTATGTGGACAGCGCCGGCCGCAAGTCTCGCATCCACGAGTTGCTGTGGCCAGCAGTGCCCACAGGCTGGGGTAAGGCCTGCAGAGGGCCGGGCTGTGGAGGGTCCTCCTGCCTGACCAGCCCCTGCTCTGCCCTCAGTGGACTGCACCGGATCTTCCTCTCCCAGGCCTTTGCTCATGCTCTTCCCCCCACCTAAACTGTTCTTCCTGTACCAGGCAAACTCTTTTTTTTCTTTTTTTTTAAGATTTTATTTATTTATTTGAGATAGAGAGAATGAGAGAGAGAGAGCACATGAGAGGGGGGAGGGTCAGAGGGAGAAGCAGACTCCCTGGCGAGCAGGGAGCCCGATGCGGGACTCGATCCCGGGACTCCAGGATCATGACCTGAGCCGAAGGCAGTCGCTTAACCAACTGAGCCACCCAGTCGCCCCCAGGCAAACTCTTAACCAAGTCCAGCTGCAGTGCCAGCTCAGAGCCTGGAGCTGGTAGGCTCTCCGCAAATGACCACCATGATTTCTGCCATTGTCATTACTGCTTTCATGCTCCCTGCCCTGCCTTCCCCCATTGCTGGTCCTTTGTTCCTTTTTGCTCCCCCACCTCTGTGTGCAGACCTCTGCCCTACTGCTCTTCGCACCTTCTTTTAATGACTGGTTTGGTACAGTGGGGGCCTACGGAATGGGCTGGGGCTGGTTTCTTCATCCCATCCTGCACCCAGCCCAGGGAAGCACACCTTAGGGGCTATGAATGTTTGGAGGAATGAATGATTGAATGAATGAATGAACAGGGCAGTGGGGGAGGTAACTGTGAGATGGCGTCCAAGCTAGAAGACAGGGACAGAGCTCCCTTCATAAGCAGTGGCTCTTCTGAGGTTGGGCCTGTGGGTTGGGTGTAGCAGAGACTTCGTCTGTAGGAGTTGGAATCAGACTGCCCAGGGCTAATTCCCAGCTCTCACTCACCACTGGGTGACCTTGGCCATTACTTAGCTCTGGGGTTCCATTCTGTCAAGTTAGGGGTGATAAATACGACCTGCCCAGAGTTGTTTAAGAAGTGAAGGAGAAAACATCTGCCAAGTGGTTGGAACTTTGCCTGGCATGCCAGATAGCGAGCGAGTGCTCCATGCCTGTCATCTCTGATTCCTTATGGACCTTGGGTGGGGCAACCTGGAGTCTTCAGAAGGACCTTCGGTTGGGCGTGGAAGTTACTGTAGGGAGGAGGACACGCGGCGGGGGGGGGGTTCCCAGCAAGCCCACAGAGGTGCCTGACATGCGGGTCTCCTGCCCCGCAGGTTATGCGGCCCCCTACCTGACAGTGTTCAGCGAGAACTCCATCGATGTGTTTGATGTAAGGAAAGCAGAATGGGTCCAGACGGTGCCACTCAAGAAGGTGAGGGCCTGCCCAGACCCCGGGCCCTGCACCGGGGTGCAGCCGGGGAGCACGGCTGACCTCTGTGCCTGCTGCCTCAGGTGCGACCCCTAAACCCGGAGGGCTCCCTGTTCCTCTTTGGCACGGAGAAGGTCCGCCTGACCTACCTCAGGAACCGGCTGGCAGGTGAGGACGTGCGTGTGCAAGCGAGTACGGGGTGTGTGCGTTCCCGTGTGCGTGTGTGACCCTGAGCTCCAGCGGACGGGCCCTGGGGACTTCGGAGCACCGTCCGGCTCTCTGCTGCTCCCACAGAGAAGGACGAGTTCGACATCCCCGACCTCACTGACAACAGCCGACGCCAGCTGTTCCGCACCAAGAGCAAGCGCCACTTCTTCTTCCGCGTGTCTGAGGAGCAGCGGCAGCAGCGGCGCAGGTGCGCGTGCGCGATGCGGCCGCTGGGCGGGGCCTCCCAGGCTTGGGGGCGGGGCGTTTCGGGAGGGGGCCGGGGAGGTCTCTTGCGCCGCCCCTCCCCCCATATTCCCTCCCCCCGCAGGGAGATGCTGAAGGACCCCTTTGTGCGCTCCAAGCTCATCTCACCGCCCACCAACTTCAACCACCTGGTGCACGTGGGCCCCACGGACGGGAAGCCCAGCGCCAGGGACCTGCCCCGGGTGAGTTCTCCGGGGCCAATCACAAGCCTCCCTAGTGAGGCTCAGCCAATCACCGGTCGTCCTGACGCGCTTGAGCCGATCGCAGCCGTCTGCTTACCTCGGACCCGGGACCCCAGCACGTCCAGGCTGGGGGCCCCACTGCGGTTCTTTTGCCCTGGGATGGTGCGCCGCCCGGTCCCAGCCCTTCTGCATTGTCCCCCAGCAGGCTCCAGAAGGGAAGGGCCGAGGTACCCGCGGCTCCGGCCCCCAGCGTCCGCATAGCTTCTCGGAGGCTTCGCGCCGCCCAGCCTCTGTGGGCAGCGACGGGCTCGCTGGAGACGCGGACGCCAGTAAGGACAACCCCGCTGCTTCCACTGCCTCCAAGTCCCTCCCCAAAGTTTCCACCCCCTTTGGGCCCCTCATATTTAACCTTGGATTTTTGTGTCTCCCCCCCTCCCCCCCATCCTGCTCCTGGAGCAGTGAAGAGGAAGCCTTGGACATCTCTGTCCAGCGAGTCCGTGTCCTGCCCCCAGGGATCTCTGAGCCCCGCAGACTCCCTGATACAGGTGAGCTGATGGGGGTTTTCCCCTCCCGTGTAAAAGCACAGGTAGTTCTGTTCTGTGCTAGACCCTGTGCTGGGACCTGAAGCCAGAGAACAAGCTGAGCCCATCCCTGCCCTGGATCCTAAGAGAAGCAGACTTGTCCCCACAGTGGGCCCCAACAGGCCTGGAGGCAGGTCGGCCTAGGTGGGAATCTTGGCCCTGACTGTCCCAGGAGTGTGGCCCTGGGCGAGATGTCCAGCTTCTTTCACTTATAAATGAGGTTATTATTTGAGATTATTCTAGAAGGGGTAACCGTATGAGGTGGTGATGACTTCAGCGGGGTACCTGACACATGGGGAGAGTGCCACAGAAGAGCAACTCTTTAGAGGCCCAACCTGAGGTGGAAGGATCAGAGGAGAGTCCACTCTGGCTGGGGACGGGGAAGACATAAGAGGAGCTGGGAAGGCTCCCATTCACCCTCAGGCCACTTCTCCATTGCCACCCCCAGTGGAGCCGCACCAGGCCACTCACAGAGCCCTGGGACTTGCCATATTCTTTCACACCTTCAGGCTCTTGCCCCTGACGTCCCCCCTGCTTTGAATGCCCTTTCATTAACATCCAGGCCACCTTCAAAGCTCTGCACTAATATCACCTTTTCCAAAGATCACCTGGTTGCCTGGCAGCCACCAGCCTCCCTAGGGCCCATGTCCTTCCCTCCACCCCTCCTTGTCAGTCCTTCTGTGCTATGGTCTTCCTCCGATGCCAGTCCTCCTCCCTCAACTGTGGGCTCCCTGATAGCGAGGGTCAAGTTTGTCTTCTGCCTGCCTAGAGTAAAGCGTGTCTGTTGATCGAGGAAGAATAGAGTAAATGAACAAAGGGACTTTGATTTGGGCTCCAGGGTTGAGTAGGAGTTCCCAGGGTTTTTCTCCTATAGGCCCACCCCCACCTCACATCTGCCCTCCTCGAAGGGCCTGGATGCAGGAGGTGATGGGTCCTGGGAAGGCCTCTGGGGGACACTGGTCTGGTAAGGAAAGAGTCCTTCCTTCTGTTTCCCCTCCAGGTGTCAGAACGGCCCCGGAGCCTCCCCCCAGCCCCTGAGTCAGAGGGGTCCCCTTGACACCCTCTGGCAGGGCCCACCCCGATCCCAGGACCGAGAGACAGAAACGAGCAAAGAGCTTGAGGAATGCCATGCTCCGGCTGGCCCGGGATGTGTGGAAATTCGGACTCAGGGAGGGCCTGGGTTGGAGAGCGCCTCGGAGGCTGGTCTGGGTACCCAGGACCTGGGGGCCCTGACTCCCAGCCCTTATCCTGCCTTTCCCCTCTGCTCCCAGCCCCTATCTGTGCTAGCTACTGGGAATAGAATGGGCCCCTTTCTGCGCTGGGGGCCCATCTGCCCTGGAGTCCAAGGGCGATTGTGCCAAAGCTCTCCTTTCCAGTGCCAAGCCTCAGAAGGCCTGCAAGCAAGAGTTGGGATGAGGGATGGAGAAGGACTGGGTCCCTGGGAACAATGTGGGGTCTCTTGGCTGTGGACTGTGTAGCCTCTAGGTGAGGCCAAGTTGGGGCATATCGCGGTCTCTGCTCAGGGTCAAGGTAGGAAAGACAGAGTCTGATCCAAAGGGAAGGAGAATGGGGCGCCTGGCTGGCTCAGTCAGTAGAGCATGTGACTCTTGATCTCAGGGTTGTGAGTTCAAGCCCCACGTTGGGTGTAGAGATTACTTAAAAAATAAAAAATATGTATATTTTTTTTTCAAAGGAAAGGAGGATAGACAAGGAGCAGGGAGGCTGTAAGTGAAGGAGGATGTGGGTGAAGGAAGTAGGAGAGGGAAGGGGAAGGAAAAGGAGTGGAAGAGGCAGGAGGGAAGAGGCATCCAGAGGAGGAGAGGGATAAAGGAGGAGCAGTGAAGAGGAGCAGAGAGCCGAGGGGGGCCGGGAGGAGAGCACTACTGATAGGGGCCTTTCTCTCTGGGGAGGAGCTTGGCAGGGTTGGGAACAGAGGGGCCCTGAGAACCAACTGACCTTGCATCTAATCCGCCCAGGGGGGAGATCATTCCTAGACAGGGACGGGATGGGGAGGGTATTTATAAAGGCTACTTGGTGGGAGATGGCACCTGATGGGGGCCGCTGGAGGGTCTCCAGGCACACTCTGGCCCCTCCCAGAAAGGGGTTGGTCCTTTTTCTCAAAGCTTCAACCACCTGTGTATTAGGGGATCATAGGGGGCGTTTTATTATTGGTCATAGTCATTATTATTGTTATTATATTACTATTTTTATTAAACTTTCCTCTACTGACAAGTTGGGGGCAAAATAAGTATTTATCTCTTCAAATGCCATATTCCCAGGAGGGACTGACCCTGATGCTCTGTGAGGCAGTAAGAAACCAATAAAGATGACTTTTTAAGCTGCTGGCCTCCCTGCCTGGATCTGTCCTCCTGGGGCTCAGAAAATGGGGGGGCGGAGACCAGAGATGGAGGGAGGAACAGGGATGTCAGGGACAGTTACAGACTGAGTTGTCTCCCCCGTACTTTCAGGAATCATATGACACATGCAAATGGGGGTGAGGACAGTTCAACAGCAAAGGGACGGTTTACAAAAGTGTGGGCAGTGGTCCTAGAGCCCACCAAGGAGAGACGGTGCTCCTGAGCCCTAGCGGGTGGGAAGCTGTTAGCCCCCACAGGCAGGAAGAGGCAGTGGTGGCCCCTGACAGTCGCTGTGGCTCTCAGTAGGATTTGGCTGTGGTTGAGCAGAAAGGCAGCCAGCCCAGGAATAAATTCCTCATACCTCCCTCAACTCCCTCCCTCCACCTCCTGCCTCCCTTCGTCCAAACACAAGCAGCAGCCAAAGGACACTAGAGCCTGGTCACTGCAGCTCTGGGAACAGCGGGAACAGCGCAGCCTTGGGGGCACCGAGCTGGGTGGAGCAAGGTAGAACGGGATCTGTAGGGCACACCCAGGGTGCCAGCACCCTGTTGCCCCACCCAGGCTGGTAGGCGTGGGAGGACCCTCACTGGTTCTTAGCTCAAGCGTCCCTGACTGAGCAGGACCCAAGAGGTGCATGAGGAAGGAGGGTACAGCCTGTGACTCTGGGATCAGGGCAGGCCTGGGGAGCTGAGGGCTATGCCCTGAGACTCATGGCCAGCCCTAAACTGGGGAAAGTACCAAGAAGGGGCCCCAGTGTCACATCTGCTTGGGGATGGGAGTTGGAGGGTGCCCAGGGAATTCCAGCCTTGAGAGTCACACAACCTGAATTCTAGTCTAGCTGTGCAGTCATGAACAAGTTATCTGACCTCTCTAAGCCTCCATTTTCTCATCTGTAAATGCGGGATCCTAAAACCCACTTCATGGGAGGTTCTGGCGAGACTTTGGTGCACTGAGTGTAAAATGCCTTCAGCCCACTCTGGAAATGTTTGCTTCTGCCCACTGAGATGCAGAACCCCAGAGAGGGGGCAGGGACGCCAAGACCTCTTGCAAGCTAAGGCCCGCAGCCATCCTCTCCAAATTGGGGAAATGCTGCTTCCCAGATACCCAGCAATGATTTATCCAAAAGATTTCCACATTTTTAAAAAATTAATTTTCTCCCAGGCACCTCCTCAGGCTCCTTGCTCAGCAGGGAGCCTGCTTCTCCCACTGCCTGCCACTCCCCCTCCTTGTGCTCTCTCACTCTCTCTCTCTGGCAAAAAAAAAGAATAAGGAGCCACCAGAAGTTACTGTTACTGTCTCAAGAGATTTAACACTGATACAACAATATTATCTAGGGGCGCCTGGGTGGCTCAGTCGGTTAAGCGTCTGCCTTCGGCTCAGGTCATGATCCCAGGGTCCTGGGATGGAGCCCCGCATTGGGCTCCCTGTTCGGCGGGAAGCCTGCTTCTCCTTCTCCCTCTCCCACTCCCCCTGCTTGTGTTCCCTCTCTCGCTGTGTCTCTCTCTGTCAAATAAATCAATAAAAATCTTTAAAAAAAAAAAACAATATTATCTAATGACAATCTTTTATGGGATATACTGTGATCCCCCCAAATTTGTTTGTTGAAGTCCTAACCCCAAATAGCTCAGTACATAACCTTACTAAGAAAGAGAACCATTGCAGAAATAGTTAAAATGAGTTCATTAAGGTAGGCCCTGATCCAATATGACCGGTTCCTTTTACAAAGGGGAAACTTGGGGGCGCCTGGCTAGCTCAGTCAATAGAACATGTGATGGGGCGCCTGGGTGGCTCAGTCGTTAAGCGTCTGCCTTCGGCTCAGGTCATGATCCCAGAGTCCTGGGATCGAGCCCCACATCGGGCTCCCTGCTCTGCAGGAAGCCTGCTTCTCCCTCTCCCTCTCCCTCTGCTTGTGTTCCTTCTCTCTCTGTCTCTCTGTCAAATAAATAAAAAAAAAATTAAAAAAAAAATCTTTAAAAAAAAATAAATAAAAAATAAAAAATAGAATGTGTGATTCTTGATCTTGGGGTCGTGAGTTCATGCCTCACATTGAGGTTAGAGTTTACTTTAAAAACTTTTTTTTTTTAAGATTTTGTTTATTTGAGAGACAGAGTACAAACAGGGAGGGGCAGAGGGACAAGCAGACTCTGTGCTGAGTTCGGAGCCTGACGCGGGGCTCGATCCCAGGACCCTGAGATCAGGGCCCGAGCCGGAGTCAGACGCTTAACCAACTGAGCCACCCAGGCACCCCCCCCCCAATTTTTTTTAATTAAAGAAGGGGGAAACTTGGACGCAGAGACACACACACGGGGAGAAGACCATGTGAAGCTTTAGGCAGAGATCGGGGTGATGCTTCTACAAGCCATGGACCGCCAAAGATTGTCAGCAAACCCCCAGCAGCTGGGGAGAGGTCTGGACCAGATTCTTCCTCATGGCCTCAGAGGGAATCAGTCCCACTGACACCCTGACCTCAGCCTTCCAAATGCCAGATGGGGAGACAAGACATTTCAATTTTTTTCTGTTGTTTAAGCTGCCCAGTTCATGGTACAACTGTGTCCAAAATGTTCTTTATACCATTTTTTAAAAATCGGGTATCTAATTATGGATCAAACGTTGCATTTGGTCTAGGCTCTCTAGTCTCCATTAACCTGGAGCAATTCTATTGGCCTCCGGTTTTTGTTGCCTCCATGATATTAACATTTTTTAAGGGTCCAGGCCTGTTATTTTGTTGAATGGACTGCAATTTACATTTTTCTGATGGTTTCCCCAATAACTTTTTTGTCAAGAATATTATGTAGCTGGGGCACCTGGGTGGCTCAGTTGGTAATCATCTGCCTTGGGCTCAGGTCATGATCTCAGGGTCCTGGGATGGGGCCCCACAGTGGGCTCCCTGCTCAGTAGGGAGTCTACTTCTCCTCTCTCTCTGCACCCTACTACCTCTGCTCATGTGTGCATGCTCAGTCTCTCTCTCAAATAAATAAATAAAATCTTTTCTTTTGGTCTTTTTTCCCTATTGTTTATTTATTTGAGAGGGAGAAAGAGAGAGCAGAGTGAACGAGAATTTGAGTAGGGGGGAGAGGCAATTAGAGGAGAGGTAAATTAGAGGGTGAATTCCCCTGTGACTCTCTTCCCTCCCCCCATAAGATGAGTTTATGTCTATGTGTTGCCATATAAGCCAGACATCGAGGGACCACCCTCCCGCAGCCTCCTTGCTTCCATCAGCGGAAATCAAGTCAGAGCCTTCAAGGCTTTCCCTACTCTTGGCAGGTTCCCTCACCCTCAGCTTCACGGCAAGGGACTCAGGCCTCCAAGGTTCTCCACACTCTGGCCGTCCCCTTTTCTGACCTCATCTCTATGCTCGGCTCCTAATAGCTATCCACGGTGCCCTCCGGGCTCCTGGTCCGTCTTCAGCAAAATCACCCATGTCCTTATCCCCTTCTGTAGATGGTCCCTAACCTCCTGCTCTAGCAGGAACCCTGAGGTCACTACTGCCCCCCACCTTCTGTCACTGGCCTGGAGGTGGGGTAGGTGCTCTCCATGATTCTCACTGATGCTTACAGACATCCTCCTCCCTCCTTTCAAAAACTCAAGTTGGCGTGCACTCAAGTTTGTTGCTAACATCTCCCAACCCACGGATTGCTCCTTTTTTGACCATTTCTAGCTCCTGGCTTCCTGTCACTCTCTCCCTCCCACTCCGGTTTTAATTCTTAGAGACTGTGCTATAACACACAGATGATCCAGCGCTGGGTCCCGTGACCGTGTCTTCCACTCTGCCCAAGCCACACACTCCTGTAGCCATCCTGGAAAGCTGCTCCAGCCTGCATGAGAGCCACCAATTACATGGGCTGTGGAGCCGCTGACAAGTGACTAGCCTGAAATGAGATGTGCTCTGCGTATAAAATACATAGCAGATTTCAAAAACTTAGTGTGGAAATATATATAAATTATCACTAATTTTTATACCGATTACAAGTTGAAATAACATTTCGGACGTTATTTTTTTTTTTAAGATTTTATTTATTTATTTGCCAGAGATAGAGCAAGAGAGAGAGAGAGCTCACAAGCAGGAAGAGTAGCAGGCAGAGGGAGAAGCAGGCTTCCTGCTGAGCAAGGAGCCCGATGCGGGACTCGATCCCAGGACCCTGGGATCATGACCTGAGCCGAAGGCAGACGCCCAACTGACTGAGCCATCCAGGCGTCCCAACATTTCAGATGTTATTAAAATTAATCTTACTTAAGTCTTTTACTTTTTTAAATGTAGCTACTAGGAATTTTAAAGTTATATATATAGCTCATGTTACATTTCTACTGGAAGCACTGGGCTAGGTCTTTTCATTGCCAATAACAACAGCTCTCTCCCAGTAATCTCAGTCCCAAGCATCCCTATCTCAAACATCTCTAACCAACACCCCTATCTTTCCAGCTCTCTCTATCATCCCAGCTCCAGTAAACTTTTGACCCTACCGGAACCTACAATCCACGGATTTTGCCACACTTTTGCTGTCCCTCATCCCTCATGTGTCCTTACGTCTCTCCTCACACAGCATAAATTCCAGGTCAATCACTATAGTTACTGTTTTGCATAATGCATCTATTTATTCAGCAAATCTGTGCTGAAGACCAATTATATGCCAGACTCTATTCTGGGCATATGGGACACATCAATAAACAAAACAGACAATATCTTGTCCTTGTGGAGCTTATATTTTGGTGGGAGGAGACAAACAATAAACAAATAAGTAAGTTATATAATATGCTGGAATGCTTATATAATATGCTCAATTGGGGGTAATTTTGTCCCCTCTCCCCCTCAGGGGACATTTGGCAATGTCTGGAGACATTACTAGTTGTCACAACGGGGGAAGAAGTGCTACTGGCCTCTAGTTGGTAGAAGCCAAGTGCTGCTGAACATCCTACAGCCCAGAGGGCGGTCCCCAACTACAAAGAATTATCCAGCCCCAGATGTCAATAGTAACGTGATTGAGAAACTCTTTTCTAGAAGGTGTTAGTAATTTAGGGGGGAGAAAAGTAGAGCAGGGTGGAGGGATTGAAAGAGAAATTTGTGTTGGAGAGTATGATCTTTTTTTTTTTAAGATTTATTTGAGAGGGAAAGAGCATGGGGGGAGGGGCAGAGGACAAGCAGACTCCCTCCTGAGTGCAGAGCCCAAGGGAGGAGGGCGGGGCTCCATCTCAGGACCCTGAGATCATGACCTGAGCCAAAATCAAAAGTCAGATGCTTGGGGCGCCTGGGTGTCTCAGTCGTTAAGCGTCTGCCTTTGGCTCGGGTCATGATCCTAGGGTCCTGGGATGGAGCCCCGCATCAGGCTCCCTGCTCGGCAGGAAGCCTGCTTCTTCCTCACCCACTCCCCCTGCTTGTGTTCCCTCTCTTGCTGTGTCTCTCTCTGTCAAATAAATAAAAAATCTTTTAAAAAAAGAAAGAGATGCTTAACTGACTGAGCCACCCAGGTGCCCCAGAGAGTGTGATCTCAAGTAAGCTGGTCAGGTCTGGGTCAGCCTCATTGAGAAGGTGACATTTGAGCAAAGGTGTGGAGGAAAAGAGACAACCAACTGGGTTTCCTGTTTTCATTGAAAAAATTAAAGTACCAGGACATGTTCCCATGTATTCTGCCTTCTCTCCAATTATTGCAGAGAAACTGTTCATGCTCCTAGCAAAGGCCAAACCTGCCACTCAGGAACTCCCATTCCCTCCACCCATTCAAGGCCATCAGTCCTGCAATTCTCCCCTATTAAACACCACCACCACAACCTCCTTTGACCTTCTTTCCCCCTCCCCGCCCCACCCACCAGCTGCCATCTTATTTTTCTCCTGTCTTTGCTGCAAAGCTCCCTGAAAGAGTTGAGTATTAGCACTGTCTCCAGTTTCTTTCCTCTCATTTTTCTTGAGCCAAGGAACAGGCTTTTGCTCCGAAACTGCTCTTAATGTGATCACCAGGCATTCCCTCTGAACCAAATCCAGTCAGTCTTCCATGCTCAGTTTGCTGAGCTATGAACAGCGTCTGACAAGGTCATTAACACCCCTGTCTCGGTGGTCCATCTTCTTCTGCACAAATGCTCGTCTGGTTCTCTTACTGTCTCTCTGGCCAGTCTCATTTGCTCGTTCCTCCTGGTCTCCTAATCTCTATGCGAAGAAGTACCCCACAACTTGGTCATTGGTGATCTCATCCCCATATACTCTTCGCCCAGGTTCCCCTTAATGTTAACATTTGACAAAATAGTGATACATTTATCAAACCTAACAGATGAAAACTATGAACGAAGCTACAGACTTTATTTGAATTTCACAAGGAGGGTTCCCAGGTGCCCTGACTAGTTTGGTTTTAAGACTAAAATCCCATACTCCCGAAGTCCCCTCAGTCCTGGGCAAACTACGACGGTCAGCCACCCTATTGACCATTTTTTCCCCACTAATGTCCTTTTTCTGTCCCAGAACTCAACCCAGAACACCACGTTGCATTTAGTTGTCCCGTCTTCTTACTCTGTTCTAACCTGCAAAAGTTTCTGTCTTTCCTCATCTTTTATGACCTTGACACTTTTGAAGAGTACTGGTCAAGTGTTTGGTAGAATGTTCCTCAGTTTGGGCTTGCCAGATGTTTTCTCATGATTAGACTAGGCTTATGGATTTGGGGGAAAATACCCACAGACGTGAAGAAGGGCAGAAATTTGATGTTTTACTCACTGCTATATATCTAGTGCCTAGGACTGAGTGCCTGGCCCACAGGCATCAAAAATCTGTTTGTTGAATGAATAAGGAAGGTGAATGGATGATTCTGTAGAAATTATTGTATTATTTTGAAGTTTTGAAATGTTCTTAATAGGGGTGCCTGGGTGGCTCAGTCAGTTAAGCATCTGCCTTCAGCTCAGGTCATGATCCCAGGGTCCTGGGATAGAGCCCCACATCAGGCTCCCCACTGAGTGGGGAG